AAGCGGATTGAAGGTGGAATCTAGAGGAAAAGCGGTATTTGAGGTTTGATTTTGGCCGTGAAATCGAGTTAAGTGTTGTGGCTAACCTTAGCTTGAGGGATTAGGTATTGTTTGCCTTATTTGCTACTTGTTAGTTGTTGAGTACGATATATTGGTGTGGTGACGAGTATCTATACGTTGTTGTCGGTTCATAGCATGCGAGTGAGTTCTATACTTGTGGCAGTTGTGTTTCTTTATATGCATTATTCCTGCTTAAACTAGTTATTGTACATGTTAACAAGTCTCACTATGTTGTTCCTGGTTTGGATATTGGGTGAGTATTGGCTCAAGTTGAGATTTCTATTGTGAAATTAAATGATGAAACAACGTTGTTTGATTGTGATGCCCTTGCTGGGTTGTTATTGTTTCTGTTGTTGTTATGGTGAGAAAGAGTGATAAAGCATGAAGGGTGATGTCGTGCACATTCATATTTATGCATATGGTGAGGAAGAGTGATAAAGCACGAAGGGTGATGCTGTGTACATTTATATTATTCATATGGTGAGGAAGAGTGATAAAGCACGAAGGGTGATGCTGTGTACATTTATATTATTCATATGGTGAGGAAGAGTGATAAAGCACGAAGGGTGATGCCGTGCACATTTTCTATCATTATTTGCATGGTGAGGATTGAGAGTAAAAGCATGAAAGGTGATGCCGTGCATTTTCTGGTTGTTGTGCTTATTGTTATTATCGGATCAAAGTGTTTTAGCTATTTAAATTCCTTTACTACTATGATTCTTTATGTTGAAACTCCCATAGCATGTTGCCCCTTCCCGTTTATTTCTTCTTAGTTTTCTATTACTTGTTATCCTATTAGTATATTGATTAACTGCACATGTTTATGTTGTTTGTCGTGTCCTAGCATCGTCACTACTTCGCCGAGGTTAGGCTCGACACTTACCAGTACATGGAGTCGGTTGTACTGATACTGCACCTTGCACTTTCTGTGCAGATCCCGGTACTGGACCATACTGATCATAGTTCGAGATTGCTGCCTTTAGTCCACCGAAGATCCAAGGTAGTCTTGCAGGTGTCTGCAGGCCCTGTCGTCCCCCTCTATCCTATTTCATTTCTATTCTATCTACTTTCAAGACAAATGTATATTTTTCATTCAGATTATTATTCGTAGTATTTGTAGATTGTTCATGAATTGTAACACCAGTTGTGGGTGAAATTTATTACGGTTTTTATTATTAGCATAAAGATAATCTTTTAAATTGTGTTCTCCCGCATTTAGTTTCGCTGATTTACTTTTGTTAAGTTTTAATTGTTAAAAGATAAAGGAAAAAGGTGAAATATTCTGTATCATTGGCTTGCCTAGCGAGTACAATATTAGGCGCCATCACGGTCCCGACGATGAAAAATTCGGGTCGTGACAGTTGTGACTCTTGTTGATACTTTCTATTTCTTCACTTGTGTTTTGTTGTTTTGTTCCATGTCATGGTATCCCTTGTTTTCTTCTATGAAGTATTATCTGTCTTAGTTCAATGTAGCTATTCTCGGTGTACTTCTTTAATTGTTTCAATTCTATTGCTATCATTATTTTCATTGTTATACACTTGTACAGTTTTCTTATTTATTTTAGTAGGGCCTTAATCGGACCTCGTCACTACGCTACCGAGGTTAAGCTTGGCACTTATTGGGTACCGTTGTGGTGTACTCATACTACGCTTATGCACATCTTTTTGTGCAGATCTAGGTACCTCCTACCAGACCGGGCATCAGTGAGTTGAGTTCGTACGTGGAGACTTCAAGGTACACGTGCCAGCATCCGCAGGTCTCGAAGTCACCCTCTATCTACTTTTATATTTTCATTCTTCTACTAGTTACAATTGTATAGGGATGACTATGATTCCGTTGTAGAGCTTGTGATTCGATATCACCAGGTTTTGGGGAAATTATATATGTTGAGCGGCAAAGTTTATTTTATACCGTTGTTGAGTATTTAAGAATTCATTTGATATTTCAGTTATTGCCGCATGTTTGTTAGGCTTACCCTAGTCTTAGAGACTAGGTGCCGTCACGACATCCTACGGAGGGAAATTGGGATCGTGACAAAAATATTATGTGTAAACATGGGCGGTTCACGTATATACGTTGCCTAAAACCCAAGTTTAATATGATGCCTAAATTTTTAAAAGAAAGTTATAAGATATGTTTTTATTTTAAGTTTATTCTTTTAGCTTTTTGAGATACAAAGTTATTAATAATCTTTGTTATATTCGATCTTCTCTAATAATTCCTTTTCAATTGATAATATAACCAACTCATTTAATCTTTTTTGAGATATTATTGATCTATAAAAATATAGAAATATTATAAGCTTAAAAGTATTGTTGAATACAAAGAGAAAGATAGAAAATATGTAGGGTTTCTGAAATATAAAGAGATTGAGAAAAAAAATATTGACTTGGAAAAATTAAGAAAGAGTAATTTTTTTTACATGTTATCTAATGAAGGAGTAAGAAGTAAAAAAATTGAAAAATTATTAATTTACCCATTTTAAGTAAGCCAAATTATTATTTTATTTATATATCTAAAGAGCTTTCTTTTCTTTTATATTAAAAACTATACTTTTGTATTAAAAACACTATATATTATTTTTTAAATACCTATAAACTTATTATTTTAAAAACATGAGACCCCCCACAAGCCTTACTACTCGTAGCAGTAGAGCTCGCTAGGGATGTTCATAAAAAATCGAAAATCCGATCCAAACCGAAAATCGAACCAAATCGACTAAAAAACTGATACTGATGTGTTTTCAATGTCTTTGCCTTATGCCTCTTATGTTTTGATGATCTAACAAATTTATTGTGAAGAACCAGATAGAATACCTATGGTATACATTTCAAATGAATAATGTCCAGACTGATCTCCATCAAATGAATGAACAACCACAGGAAGGAACACAACAGGGACCTGGTGACCTGGTTCCTTAGGGTTCTGCGACAGAAGTACAAGTCAGTGACTGTCCGCAACCATTATAAAGAGGAACACAACAGGAATCTGGTCCCTTAGGGTTCTCTGACAGAAGTACAAGTCAAATGTACGGTTGGAACATAACATCAGAAAGTGACTATCTCACAACTGTTACAAAAGAGGAACACAACTGGGACATGGTCCCTTAGTGTTCTCTGACAGAAGGTCAAGTCAACTATACACCTAGAACGCAATTACACAAAAGTGACTGTGCAACAGTCACTTCTCATTGGGAAGAAGCGTGTACCAAGAATTGACATCACTATCCATTGTGATGTCTTTTATGATATAACAACCTCGTGCAAGGCACAATATTTTTACTTGTGCATTCAGTGATATTCTCTCAAGCATAACAGTGTTCATCCGGCATTGAAGTCACTGGTGTGTCAAGAACAAGAAGACAACTCCACTAAGAATCAGTTTCATAATGAGTTTATGTATATCCGTAGTTGAGTTGTAATCTTGTTATTTGTTCTTCATTGTATCTCCTATTTTGATTTCTTAGAAGCTTTGTCTTAGGAAAACCAAAAATCCGTAAACTTCCGAGTTTATGTTGTGACTAGGATTAGTCATAAGTTTAAAGTCTTTGTAACTAGAAGAGTCACAAAGTGGCTTGTGGTGAGAGCATCACAAGTTAGTTGAAGTCTTTGTAATAGGGTTGTTGCAAAGTGACTTGTAATAGTGAGATTGCAAGTTAGTGAAGTTAAAAGCCTACACGTGTAGGTCGTGGTTTTTTGATCCCCTTGTGTGGGATTTTTCCACGTAAAAATCTCTTGTCTTCTTTACTTACAGTTTTATTAGCATTCTCAGCTTAACCTCATAGCGGACCAGGTATTCTACTGTTTGGTGGATTCATACAAACTAACAAATACTTTTTAGGTTTGGTTTGATTTTGATTTTGATTTTGAATTTTAAAACCCGATCAACTTTGTTTTGGTTTTGGTTTTAATCAATAAATAACCGAAAAAATCGGATCAAACCGACTATAGAAGTAGCTATTTAAATTTATTATTACACCTATATATATATGTATGTATTTTTTATATAAAATTTCTAAAATATTATGATATATATTAGTCATTTAAATTTTTAGTCTAGTTCTTTGCTATTATAATAATCTAGTTCTTTGTTTTTATATTCTAGTTTGATTGGTAATTAAATTACTCATTACTATTTGATTCAATTATCATTAATATACCTTGGTAAATGATATATTTCTCATAGAGCAATTGGTTTGATAGTGTTACGTTGAAAATATACTCGCCGGAATACGTGTTTGGTAGTGTATGTCTCATATTTAAGAAAAAAACCGATAAATAATCGAAAAAACCGAAAAACCGATAAAAACTGAATCGATAAAAAATTGACTTAATTGATTTGGTTTGGTTTGGTTCCAATATTTGAAGAACCGACTTACTTTGTTTGGTTTCTTTTTAGGAAAAACCAAGGTTTCTCTTTGTTTTTATATTCTAGTTTGATTGGTAATTAAATTACTCATCACTATTTGATTCAATTATCATTAATATACCTTGGTAAATGATATATTTCTCAAAGAGCAATTGGTTTGATAGTGTTACGTTGAAAGTGTACTCGCCGGAATACGTATTTGGTAGTGTATGTCTCATATTTAAGAAAAAACCGAAAAACCGATAAAAATCGAATCGATAAAAATTCAGCTTAATTGATTTGATTTGGTTTGGTTCCAATATTTGAAGAACCGACATAGTTTGTTTGGTTTCTTTTTTGAAAAAAATCGACTTCAAATCGAACCAAGAAAGCCCCCGAGACACTGCGGCTAACTATTAAAAGTAACACTGTTTACTATTAAAGTAATTTATTTATTTATCGCTTCGCTAAATAAAAATTCTGCGTGAATATACACACAGAAAAGATTCTTCTATGCTTGTGGAACGTCTTTCTCGTGTGTCTACAACGGTACAACCTCTCTCCCCAACCCACTCTACCCGGGACACCCCCCCCCCCCCCCCCCCCCCCTCTCCCCATTTACATGATACACAGACAGATGCAAAAAAAGAAAAAGCGCGCGTGTGAGAGAGAAAAAACAACATCACCAACAAACAAAAAATGATGTGGGAAGCTGGAGGAGGATCAACAGCTTCTTCCTCCGCAGCCGGTAGCGGTGGTGGAAGTGGTGGTGCCGGAGTTGGTCTATCGGAAAGTGGTAGTAATTGTGGGAGGAGGAAGCCTTCGTGGAGAGAGAGAGAAAATAACAGGAGAAGAGAGAGAAGAAGAAGAGCAATGGCTGCCAAGATTTATACAGGCTTAAGAGCTCAAGGGAATTATAATCTTCCTAAAAACTGTGATAATAATGAAGTTCTTAAAGCCCTTTGTGCTGAAGCTGGTTGGATTGTTGAACCTGATGGTACCACTTATCCCAAGGTTAACTTTTTCTTTTTGTTTCTTCAATTTACTATCCATTTTGTCTGGCCGATTTAAGATTTGAACTTTATGAGTGTGAATTTAATTTGTGTACTTATTTAGTGAATTTCGAGTGGAATAGTTAGTGAGGATTCATATAACTGATCCTAATAAGTTTGGAACTGAATTAAACAGTATGATTAAAGATGATTTATAGAGTCGACCCAACTGATTTGGGATTGATTAATTGATTTGTATGTCTGGTTATAATTATTTTACTTCATTCTTAGGTTTTTTTCTAGGGTGAACCCATTAATGGGTTGTTCTTGGATTTGCTTAGATCTAAAGGTTAGGCAAATGGGTTTTGCTCTATTTGGATCAAGTTTGCTTTTTTTAAGCACTGATTTCAATGGATTTATAATTGTTTCAGGATGATCTGGGAACTGGGTTGGAGTAACTATTGTCTTTTCGTTCTGTATGAACTTCTGTTGTAGCATTTGTTTGGTCTTATATGCATTTTAGCATATAAGAGTATCAATCTTTCACTTACTAGTCTGTTGGATTTGCTGCATTCTTTGTTTTATCTGTTAATGTTCTTGTGCATTAGCTATTTTGAGATATTAGAGTGATCCAGTGCATAAGTTGTCAGAAAATTGAAGGAATTTTAGGGGAAAAGACTTGACCTTTTGAATTCAATTGTTGTTAATTTGGTAGTGAAAAGTAGGGTCCCTTTATTTGGAGCTTATGGGGGTGGAGTTTGATGATTCTGCCATTGGTGCTTTCTTCTGTAGTGAATGTTTTCCAGGTTCCAATTTGTATTCTATTGAGGTTTCTTTTATTAGCTCAATTGCCATGCTATCCTGCAAATTTTCTCTCTGGAACTCAAATGTCATGAGAACTTTCATATTAATGCCTTCTGATCTATCTATCTGAACTGTGTGGTTTGGGGTTTAGAACTTAAACAAGCAATGCTTGAGGGGGAACTCAATCGCTGCTAGGTTATTAGCATCTCCCCGTTGGGTAGAGCGTTGTAGTCATTTCCTGTCTTGCCATGCTATCCTGCAAGTTTGCTCTCTGATACTCAAATTTCATTAAAATTTTGTATTGATTGCTTTCTGGTTTTATCTATCTTAACTGTTAGGCCCAGGTTCTCAAACTTGAACATAAGCAAAAAAGTTGATACTGACTTTCTTTCTACTATTATGTGATTCAGGGGTGCAAGCCAACCCCAATGGAGATCGGAGGCACTTCAGCAAACATCACGCTAAGTTCTTCATGGAATCCAAGTCCCCAATCATCATACTTTGCTAGCCCAATCCCATCTTATCAGCCGAGTCTAACCTCCTCTTCTTTCCCCAGTCCATCCCGTGCTGATGCTAACATGTCATCATACCCATTTGCATTTCTTCATAATGTCATTCCTTCATCACTTCCTCCATTACGAATATCAAACAGTGCCCCTGTAACGCCACCTCTTTCATCACCAACTAGGCATCCTAAGCAAACATTCAATTTGGAGACTTTGGCCAAAGAATCAATGTCTGCTTTAAACATCCCTTTCTTTGCTGCTTCGGCCCCAGCAAGCCCAACTCGGGGTCGGCGTTTTACTCCTCCCACTATACCTGAGTGTGACGAATCCGACACATCCACCATTGATTCAGGCCAATGGATCAATTTTCAAAAGTATGCGACCAATGTTCCAACTTCTCCAACTTTTAATCTTGTAAAACCTGTGTCTCTGCCACTTCGTTCTTATGATATAATCACGGAGAAGGGTAAGAGCATAGAATTTGACTTTGAAAATGTGTCAGTCAAAGCATGGGAAGGGGAAAGGATTCACGATGTAGGATTCGATGATCTGGAACTCACGCTTGGAAATGGAAGTGCTCGCGTATGATTACTTTGATTGAGATTTTATGAGTTAGCTAGCTGATGAGGGACTATGCATTTCAGTGGATGTCCGAGTTTTATCTGGAGATATTGCACAAACGTAGATCTTGCATCAATTGCTTCTTCGGACTGAAAATTATCTGTTTCATTTTACCTTATGTATAACATTCTTTTCCCTTTTTTTCCCTTTATCTGAAAAGACCCCTTCAATATTTACATAGGTCTTTCCACAAGCATTACATGTAGATAGAATCTGCTCGTTTCTGTAATCGAGATTTATTTTCTTCATTGTAGACTAGAAGGAGCTTCTCTACAAATATGAACTATCGGCATTTTTCCCTTCTATTGAAACTCACCTCTTCTGAATGATCCAACTTCATTTGAAATCAACAATGTATTTCTGTAGTCTCTCTGATGTTTTATGTGCACGCTATAAAGATATGAAGCGCGCTACAGTTTATAATCTGTGCCAGTCTTTGTTTCTGAGATTTATATTTCTAGTTAAAGTTATTCTTGCTATCTTTTGGCCTAGTAGCAAGATGCAGGGACTAATGAACTTGTTATCAGATCCCTGAAAGATAAAGACTTTGACAAGATGGCCAAGCAAATAGTTATGCATCACTCCAATTTTGTCATGTCTACAAAGGGACTGATTACAGCCCAGAAGTTGCAAGCTGCATTTGGTCACCAATTCAAATTGGAGAAATTTTTTATTCTTCCTGGTGGTCAATGTCTTCTGTATTCTGTTTCTTTTTGAAAGAATTCTAACTTTGTATTGATGTTCGTGGCATGTTCATGCACACGTTTGTTATAAATAATATATACTAGCTTAGACAATAGAAATAAATAAGGGGGTCCTTAACGGATTTAAGGCCTCATTTGTTTGTACTTAATGGAGGTCTGAATCTTAATCATTCAAATCTCAGACATTAAGTGTGTTTGTTTTTAAAATCTGAATCTTTATTATTCAGATCTTAATCATTAAGTGTGTTTATTTTTTCTACTTCACAATCACTTAATAGGTCTGTATGATTAAGATCTATAACAGAAACTTAATTTCATTAAGATGCTATCACATATTCATTATTAACTGCCGCCACCGCCTACCATTATCAACTACTACCATGCCACCACCACCACCATACTAAATCACCACCCCACCACCACCACCACCTCCAACACCACCACGCCACCATCATCCTCAATCATAGCTGCCACTATTATCGACCATCACCACCCACTATCCCTACTACTCCGACCACCATTATTCTCACCCACAATCAACACTCATCCACCTCAACTACCACAACTGATCACCCCATCACCATCAACAACCACAACCAGCACTGCCCATCATTATAACCTACCGCCACCCACCCACCACCTTCCTCAGTCACAACTACTACCACCACCCGCCAGTATTAACTAGCACCACCCACCACCACCCACCACCACCATCCTCAATCATAATCGCCACCACTATCAATCACTACTAGCTACTAGCATGAACCACCATCATCAACCAAAACTACCACCAACCAACGTCTCTACTCGGCATTTATCCGTTAGCCATTACCACTAATGACTATCATATTTTAAAAAACTAAATATTTTATTGATAGAACATTAGATTAGTTAGTATTTCATTTGAATTTTATATTTATTAATTTTCAAATAAAGATAAATTTTATACATTCAGATGTCCAAAACCAAACAGTCTTAATTATTTAGTATTCAGATCTTAATATACATCTTAATATATTCAGATGTGTATTCAGATTCAGATGTCTTAATCTTAATACACATCTTGATATTCAGATGTGTATTCGGATTCAGACGTCTTAATCTTAAAAAAACAAATGAAGCCTAAGACTCGCGGTTTACAAGTCCATAAGTTGATGTCTAGATGTGGAGTTCCTCTTATCCTATATTGTATATATTATCCTTCTTTTGTCGGTTTATATATAATATATTCATCCAATTCGCAGTCCACTTATTCGATTAATTTGGATTCCTGTAAGGTGGTCTTTTTTTTTGGTCAATCAAAGATGCATATATTATATATTAAGGAGTAGTATAAGGAGCGAGCTGTGATACAGAGTTACAAAAATATCGTTGTGCACTGATGCTAGCTTCTAGTGGAGTTGCCAAGTTCATATTACAAGTGTTGGACAACATATGTAAACAAAAATATGTGTGTTGCAACGTGTTGTGTATGACAAAATGAGGTGCTTCCAAAAATTCAGTAGTTGTGGTTTGTCCGGAGAGAGTTGCCCCTTGTTTGGCCAAATGATCTGCCACTTGATTCTGCTCCCTGTATACATGTGTCACCCAAGGATTACCCAGAAGCTGTAGGAGATATCTACATTCATCAATCAAAGATGAGTAATGTGAATTGTGTGAATTAAGGAATGAGATTACCTCTGTTGAATCCACATTGACCTCCAATGGTGTGAAATTATGTTGTAGGGCAAATCGTAGCCCTTCCTGTAAAGCTGTGAGTTCCATGTAGATTGTGTTTCCCATAGGTCTGGAACCCATATATCCTAGTAACCATTTACCCGTGGAGTCTCGAATCACTCCACCAAAACCATGTTGTTGGTGTGATGGGCTACATGTACCATCCGAATTAAGTTTAAATGAACCATTATTAAGAAGGTTCCATTTAACTTTCATGTCTAATTTTTGTGGGATGGTGTTAGGATTATTCATGCCTATATAAAAAAATTCGGCAGTTTTGCTTATGATGTGATTGGGATCTGGTTGTATATATTTTCCTTCAAAGATAGCACGATTCCTAATTTTTCATATATTCCAAAGAGTGTAAGGAATTAAGATCTCGGGAGAGATTTGAGTGCTATGAGTAGTTCTTCGCAGAAAAAATTGAGATAATGTGTATGATGTATTGTCATGCAATCTATCTAAGTTTGCATTGGATAAGTCAATATCTAAGCGTTGCCAAAACATTTTTGCATGATGGCATTGAAAGAATAGATGAGTTATAGATTCCTCATGTAGATGGTAAATTAGGCATTGTGCATGTTGGGTAATATGTATATGATGGAGATGGCGGGAGGTGGGCAGTCGATGATGGCTCATAAGCCATAGGAAATATTTGATTTTTTATGGGGTAAGTGTAGTTTCCATAACCAATGGAAGGATGTGGTTGGTTCATAAGAGTGTAATGTATGATAGAGTGATTTAACTATGAAGAGGCCACTAGATGTGATGCCCCAATAAATATGGTCATATGTGTTAGGGTTTGTAATGGTAGGTACGTAGTGATGATTAATTAACTCCTTTATGGTCGTTGGTAGCTCAAAGGGTATTTTTTTGAGTATTTATGTAGTTCCCTGTTATATAATAGGAAAGTGATGAGGATTGATCATTCTGGGGTAGGGGACCTTCAATTATTTTTCTTAGAGTTAAGTTAGTGTCCAACCAAGGATCATTCCAGAAACTAATGTGTTTTCTATTGACGGGATGCCACTTTATGCCTAATTGACATGAGGACCAGCCATGAGTGATTGCTTTCCGGTTGGAGGACATAGTTTTTGAATTAGTAATTGTTAAGTATTTGGAATGGATTACTCTAGCCCAGTGTGAGCAAGGTGATTGAAATAGTCTCCAAGCTAGGGAACCCAATAATGCATAATTTTTATCTTGGGGTTTTGTATGCCCAAACCACCATTTTCCTTTGGTAATTGGCATGTTTCCCATTTAATAAGGTGTAATTTGTATTTCTGAGGAGTAGTGCCTCATAAGAAGTTTCTTTGATATCGTTCGAGCTTGTTAATGACAATATGAGATATTTTGATTAATTGCATAACATGATTAGGCAGACAGTTGAGTGTAGCTTTTATTAAAGTAGTGCGTCCTGCCATTGATAGGATGTTCGTTTTCTAACCTGCTAATTTATTTTTAAAATTGTCTATTAAGTATTGAAAGTGGGATGAGGTTTGTTTTGTGGTGAAAATAGGGTATCCAAGATATTTACCAAAGGTTATTCCCTCCTTCATATGGAAAAGCTGAGTAACACTGTCTCGAGCTTCCTTAGGAGTATTTTTTGAGAAGAATATTTTGGATTTTGTATAATTAATAGTTAGCCCTGACAGTCTAGTAAAAAGGTTTAGAGTGTCTATAATTGTGTTTATGCTCTTAGTAGTCAATTTAGAGGTTATGGTAATATCATCTGCAAAGAGTAGATGGAATTGAAGTGGTCCCTGCATGGATAACTTTATAGGGTGCCATCGTAGATAGTCTATATCTATGTGTATTTTCCTGGATAGCATTTCCATGCAGAGGATAAAGATGTAAGGAGAAAGCGGATCTCCTTGACGAATGCCTCTTGAAAGAGAAAAAAAAGGTGTTGGTTAGCCATTAATTAAAATGGAAATTGAAGTGGTTGTGATGCATGGCATTATGAGCTTTATAAGCTTGGGAGGTAATTGGAAATAATGAAGCGTGTCATGTATAAAATCCCACTCAAGCTTATCAAAAGCCTTTTCTAAGTCCAATTTTAGTAAGAAAGCTATCTGGGTTCCTTGTTTCTTTCTAAAGTGATGCATAATTTCTTGCACTATAATGACATTGTCTGAGGCTCTTCTATGAGGTAAGAAAGTTGATTGCTCAGGACTAATAATATTGATTAGGAAAAGTTTGATGCGTTTGATAATTATTTTAGTGATTAATTTGTAAAGGGTGTTACAAAGACTAATTGGTCTGTATTGAGTGATTAATGACGGTTTTTGCGTTTTAGGTATTAAACATAAGTAAGTTTTATTGATTTCGGAGGGAATTTGTTGTGTGTTCAAAATTTCTTCACAAAAAGGAATGACTTGGGATTTGACTTGGGCCAGTATTGTTGGAAAAAATACAGATGTAAACCATCCGGCTCTGGTGCTTTAAAAGGTTGGAATGATTTAAGAGCTTCAGTGATTTCCATGTGTGTAATTAGTTTTTCAAGAGCTGAGTAATCATTTGTGTTGATGGGTATTGGGTGATAAGTTTAGATTGAGTGATGGGAGGGACTAGTAGTAAAGAGTGTGTGGTATTATTCTTCAATAGAAGTATTAATATCTTTTTGGTCTAGTATCCAATTCCCCACAGAGTCTTTTAGAGCCGTTATACGGTTCCGTCTGCGCCTTTATAGAGTTGTTAAGTGAAATTTTTTGTGTTGGCATCACCATATTGAAACCAATTTATCCTTTATTTTAACTTCCAAAATTCTTCTTCGAGTTTTAGTATATCATTAAATTGACCAATTAAGTTTTTTTCTAGATTTTGGAGGAATTTGCTAGTTGGATAGTTGGTGGAGTTTTGTATCCCTTGTAGCCTAGCTAACAAGATATTTTTTTTCTTAAAAATAT